TGGGACTGTGTCATCTCGTTTAATCTTTAAACCACCTTCACAGTAGCTATAATCAGTCCCATTTTGGAAGTGGGAAACTGAGGCTCCAAGAAGTGGAAGGAGTTAGTTAATTTACAAGCCCAGTGTGGACCCTGATTCTAGCCCAGTTCTCTCTGCTCTTGACTGCGGGCCTGGCTGGGCGTGATGATGTCCAGTGATCACTTTAATATAAGGAAAGAAACAGATTAACACTTTGGTTTGTTGGCTTCTGCTACCCCCTCCTTCCCCAGGCAGGTCTGTGCAGGGTTTTGTTTTGTTTTTTTGTGGGGGAGAGGGATGGAGCACAGGAAGAGACTGGGGAGAGGGTTGGTGTGGATTTTATTTTATAAATTAAGTCTATTTGTGGGCAACCCCTTATGTTCCAGCATCAGGCTCCTGCCTCGCCTCTTACAGGGCCAGGTGTTAAATGGAGACCTTTTTTGAGACCAGCAGGGGGATCCCAGGAGCAGGGAGGGACAGGACACAGGAGCTGGCCTGACGTTCGTGGACACTTTGTGTCCGAATCGTGGCCTTGCATTTATTGGATGCGGCCTGTGTACACCTGGCCCTACTCTCAGCTCTGGCAAAGCATCATCCTGGTGAATCCTCAGGTCATCTCATGGGATGTTCCTGCCCCTCTCCCCCACTGTGTGGATGAGGAAGCTGAGTCCAGGAGAGGCTGAGCCACTTGTCCAAAGTCACACAGCTTGGAAGTGGTGAAGCCAGCGGTAGGCCCCAAGCCCCGGAGCCCACCCACCAGCAGCTCTTCCACGCCTGGAGGACAACTTGGGCTTTGGAGCTGGATTCCAGTCCCGCGGTCCCACTAGGTACGTGCTGTGTGACCTTGGGCCACCTGCGTCACCTCTCTGAGCCTCAGCTTCCTCCGCTCGGAGATGTGGGCTCCGGTTCCCACCTGGCAGGGTTTCTGGGGGCCCTCAAGGAGGAGAGAAGGTGGCCTGGGCCTGACACAATGTGGGGGTGTCACAAATGGCGTGGGTGTTGGGGTTCACACGGCCAGCTCACAGTGAGTGTGAAATAATTGATATTTGATGGCTCAGATGGTAAAGTGTCTGCCTGCAATGCGGGAGACCCAGGTTCGATCCCTGGGTCAGGAAGATCCCCTGGAGGAGGACATGGCAACCCACTCCAGTACTCTTGCCTGAAAATTTCCATGGACAGAGGAGCCTGGTGGGCTACAGTTCATGGGGTTGCAAAGAGTCGGATACGACCAAGCGACTTCACTTTCTTTCACTTTCTTCATTGTCTAGAAACATGGAGTCAGTCACATATCGGTGACACCATCCCATCTCAGGCTCCAGTCCTTTCTCCACATCACGGATGGTGCCTGAAGTTCACTGGGGCAGCTTTCCTTCAAATGGAAAGCTTTGCTCTCAGAAAATGTAGCTTCCCATGGGCAGGGGTTTGAGGCAGGGAAGAGGGTTACACAGTAGCTGCTGATGATCACTTTCACCTCCACATAAATGAAGATTCTAGAACTGGGTGCCTGGGTGAAGGGGTTCTGTAAGAAATAGGCACAAAGGGGGGTAATTGCCAACCTTATCGTTTCCTGCCCATCAAGGGTCAGCCTTGGATTACACAACAGGCCCCGTTTGGAAACTTTCTTCTGCAGGGCCAAATTTAGGATCCTGGGTACTACCCGGAATAATACGAATATTATTTTAAATGAATATTAATAATATTGCTGACATTGTGCAGCGCTCTACAGTTTATTCATGCTTTTAGTTCGATTATCTTGGGTGAGCATTACAACCCTTTCACAGATGAGGAAACTGAGGCTCAGAGAGACCAGTTGGCCTGGGGCATTGCCAAAGCCCAGGCTTGGGAACCAGGTGTGGGGCTTTCTCTGGGGCTTGGGCCTGGTGGGCCTCCGCAGGGACCACCCCTGTCTCCCTGCCGCACTCCTTCCCATCAGAAAGGCCCAGACCCTGGGCCAGGCTGGGAATGTTTCTGGGGGGGGGGGGGGGCAGCCCGCCCACCCGCCCGCGTCAAGGCCGTGTGTAAGTGTTTTATTGTTTGCCCGAAGAGGTGTGAATGAAGTAATGGGCCTTCTCCGGCACGCCATCCGTCTAGGACTGACAGCCGTGCTCTGAGCCCGGGGCTGCTCTGTGTAAACGCTGTCACCCTGCCATCCCCGAGCAGGCAGCTTCCTCCGGGAAACTGTAATCAGGGCCTCCCGCACCCGCAGCTGGCCCTGTCCGCAGCTCGTAAATCACGGCTGCCTTCCCGGAAAACAGAGCGAGAGACAGACAGGGTGACGGGGAGACAGGCGAGGCTGGGCGAGGAAGAGACGACGCGGACAGGCCGGCGGGGAGAGCGGGAGGCAGCGGGGCTAGGCACCACGGAGGGACCGGCGGACAGGGACAGACAGACACAGCAGGCAGAGAGGCTGCGGGAAGAGAGGAAAGGGAGAGGGGGAGACGCGGGGTGATGGGGGCTAGGAAGGAGGCAGAAAGGCAGAAACAAAGGGAGACGGTGTGCAAAGGGGACGCAGAGAGAGATGGAGATGGAGACAGAGGGAAAGGCTGCAAGTGAGGCTATGAGAAGAGGCAGGAAACAGCAGGGAAAAGATCAGAGGAAAAAAGAAAACCAGGGAGCAGCACAGAGAGACAAAGGATGCAGGAAGGAGAGACAGACAGAGGAGGACATGTCAGACAGAGCGCTCAGCTTGGAACCAAGGCCAGGGTCCAAGCACGGGGCAGTCGGTCCAGACCATTAACTGGGGGCTGCCCCATCCCACCCCAGCAGGGTCCCCCAGCTTCCCCTGCAGAGCCAGGCCCTAGTAACACTCGGACACTTTTCCCTCCACACCTCACCTGGGGGACTTTGCAGCCAGACAGTCAGAGGGCTGAATGGCTGGGGGAGAAGGGGAGGGAGGAGGCTGCAGCCTCCTGAACTCCAAACCCATGGGCCTCCATCTCAGACCTGCTCTCACCCAGGGCCACTGAGAGCAGATAAGTGACCCACGGAGCAGCCGTGAGGAATCCCTGGCCCTGGGGCCACCAGTGGGCAGCACACTCTTATGTACTGGTATGCACGCCGGCCACACGCACATGAGTGCCGTGCTCTCCTGCAGGGGGCTTCATGCGGGTGGACAGGGAGATGCTGGCTCTCAAAGCCCAGTCGGCAGGGTCGCCTTAGCCCTGGTGGCCACAGGAAAGGCCTTCCGGAACCTGCAGAGGTTGGTTCACACACTATTCAGTTCTGCATTCAGGTCTCCCGCATCGCAGGCGGATTCTTGACCAGCTGAGCCACAAGTGAAGCCCAAGAATGTTGGAGTGGGTAGCCTATCCCTTCTCCAGTGGATCTTCCCAACCCAGGAATCAAACCAGAGTCTCCTGCATTGCAGGTGGGTTCAGTTCTGCAGGGGATTTTTTTCCATCTTAAGTCATGATGTCTTGTTAGTTGCTCAGTCATGTCTCTGCAACCCTGTGGACTGTATGTAGCCCGCTAGGCTTCTCTGTCCATGGGATTCTCCAGGCAAGAAGACTGGAGGGGGTTTGCCATTTCCTTCTCCAGGGGATCTTCCCAACCCAGAGATCGAACTTGGGTCTCCCACATTGCAGGCAAATTCTTTACCACCTGAGCCCCCAGGGATAGTTGATTAAAAAGCAAACAAATAAACTCTCACCCACCAGGTCCTATCCCAGGGATCTAGCAGAGAACAAAATCAAGTACCGGTCTTCTGGACTTGATATCCAGTCCAGGAAACAGACAATCAACAAGCAAGTAGACACAGTATTCACGTGATGATTGGCCCTCCAGAAAAGTCAAAACTGGGGAAGAGACAGGGAATGTTACTATTTTACGAAAGGCAGGCACTGAAGGTCTCCCTGAGAAGGAGACCTTTGAGCAGAGACTTGAAGAAAGTGAGGAGGGAGGGCTTTCCAGGCAGGCAGACTGGCATGTCCCTTAGGCAGGAACTTGCACGCTAAGTCATCTCGGTCATGTCTGACTCTTTGCGACCCCATGGACTGTAGCCCGCCAGGCTCCTCTGTCCATGAGATTCTCCAGGCAAGAACCCTGGAGTGGGTTGCCATTTCCTTCTCCAGGGGATTGTCCCAACCCAGGGGTCGAACCCAGGTCTTTTGCATTGCAGGCGGATTCTTTATCATCTGAGCCAACTGGGGAGCCGAGGCAGGAACATACCCAGTGTATTTGAAGGACAGGAAGAAGGTCAGTGCAGCTCGGCAGAGTAGGCAAGTGGTGCTGGGAGGTGAGGGCTGAGAAATGGGGGACCAGGTGGAGTAGGACTGTGACGGCCATTGAAAGGACTCTTCAGTTCAGTTCTGTTCAGTTCAGTCGCTCAGTTGTGTCCGACTCTGCGACCCCATGGACTGCAGCACACTAGGCCTCCCTGTCCATCACCAACTCCCGGAGTTTACTCAAACTCGTGACCATCAAGTCAGTGATGCCATCCAACCATCTCATCCTCTGTCGTCGCTTCTCTTCCTTCCCTCAGTCTTTCCCAGCATCAGGGTCTTTTCCAATGAGTCAGCTCTTTGCATCAGGTGGCCAAAGTGTTGGAGCTTCAGCTTCAACATCGGTCCTTCCAACGAACACCCAGGACGCTTACTATGCGGTAAATGGAAGAGTTTGGACTTGAGGTTGGCCTGATCAGACTCGTTCTCAAAATGTCCTCTGGCTGTGGTTTTGAGGACAGACTGAAGGGGGGCAAGGGCAGGGTGGGGAGACCCTGGAGGGGGCAGGTTCTTGAATTCACCCAGGTAAGAGCTGGTGCGGCTTGGATGGCGGGCAGCAGTGGATGTGTTGTTAGGAGAGAGCGGCGGGATTTGCTGATAGACGGGATGTGCAAGGAAGGGAAGTCAAGGGCAGATCTCAGGTGTGGGGCCAGAACAGCAGGAAGGCTGGAGCTGCCAGCGAGGCCCATGGCAGAGATGGGTGAGGAGCAGGCGTGGGTGGGGCGGGCTTAGGGAGCGGCTCAGGGCGCCGGCCTGTTGCAGTCAGAGGGAGGTGCTGAGTGGGCACTGGGGGGGCGCCGCCCCAGCTGAGGACGCGGACTTGGGAGCTGTCAGCAGGTAGGTGCTGTTTAAAGCTGTGAAGCTGGAGGAGGCCGCCTGGGGAGGGGGTGAAGACAGTCCAAAAGCCGGGTCTGGGGCCTCAGGCCGCCCTTGGCGGAGGTGATGGATCAGGTAGAGCCCTCAGGGTGAGCGGAGAAACTAGAAGCAGAGCGTCTCCCAGCCCCGCCGTCGGGGAAGCTGTCCAAGAAGAGAGGCCTGATCAGCAGGCCTGCCAAGAGGCCAGGAAAGGTGAGGCTGGAGGAGAATCAGAGATTGGGTTCATCCCCAGGGAGGCCCCTGGAGACCTCGACCAAGCGGTCTGGGGGCCACAGGGGGCGTGAGTGGCGCAGAGACCTGACTGGCACGCGAGTTCACAAAACAAGGAGGGGAGCGGCATGGCAGACAGTGAGACTGTTCTTCTGGGGAGTTTGGATAAAATAGAAGGCGAAAAAATGGGATGGAGTGTGGGATCAAGAGAGAGGTTTCTTCTTCAATAAACTTTTTCTTTTGGAATAGTTTTAAATTCATAGGGAAGTTGCAAAGATACTACAGAGGGTTCCCATATCCCCTTTATACAGCTCCCCTGAGTGCTAAGGTTCCCCATAACCACACTTCAGAGATACCCACCTCACTCCAGCAGCCCAGTCGGGTTGCATTCCTTGCTTCCATTGCAGGAGGTGTGAGTTCCATCTCTGGTCAGGGAACTAAGATCCCGCATGCTGTGGGGTGGGGCCAAAAAAAAAAAAAAGTCACACTTCTTTTGTCAAGACTAAGACACTGATATTGGTACCAAACTAGGAACCAGACTACAAGTGTTACTCTGATTTCACCAGGCTTTCCATGAATGTTCTTTTTCTGTTCTAGGATCCAGTCCAATCCCCAGGATACCAAGTTGCATTTGGTAGAGAGGGTCTTTTTGCCTTTTTCTTTTTTAAAACATGGGGGCATTCTGCCTGTGTGAGAGCTAATGGGAAGGGTCCAGTGGAGGGGAGGGGACTGGTGAAGCAGGTGAGTGAGGAGTGATGGTTACTGAAGCGATCCGCTAACAGGAGCAAGAGAAAGGGAGTCAGGACACCAGGGGTCACATTGATCTGGCTGCCCCTGTGGGCTGGAGAACAGAAACAGGCATGGCCCCTCAAGTGCAAATGATGCTCCCTGCTTACAACCGCCTCCACTTATAATCTCCATTTGGAATCGCATCCCCCAAGAGAAAAACAACCCCAGCGCCATGCGGAGTGGCTGAGGAGAGGGGCTCAGAAAGGAGCAAAGACTTTCCTGAGGCCAGGCAGTGTCAGAGGTGGAGCCAGGATTCTCTAGCTCCTGGGGCTTGACTTCAGAGCCAGAGCTGTGACTGTTTCTCCATTGTAGCTGCTGTGTCCTGGGAATTCCAGACGGCAAGCCGGCAAGGGCAAGGCTGGGAACACACACAGAAAAACTAAAAGCACTCAGCCTTGGTATACCAGACTCTGGCGTACCAGCCCTGTCCACTCCTGATATACCAGCCCCGTCCGCCCCCGGCACACCAGCCCCGTCCGCCCCCGGCACACCAGCCCCTCCGCCCCCGGCACACCAGCCCCGTCCGCCCCCGGCACACCAGCCCCTCCGCCCCCGGCACACCAGCCCCGTCCGCCCCCGGCACACCAGCCCCGTCCGCCCCCGGCACACCAGCCCCTCCGCCCCCGGCACACCAGCCCCGTCCGCCCCCGGCACACCAGCCCCTCCGCCCCCGGCACACCAGCCCCGTCCGCCCCCGGCACACCAGCCCCCTCCGCCCCCGGCACACCAGCCCCCTCCGCCCCCGGCACACCAGCCCCCTCCGCCCCCGGCACACCAGCCCCGTCCGCCCCCGGCACACCAGCCCCTCCGCCCCCGGCACACCAGCCCCGTCCGCCCCCGGCACACCAGCCCCTCCGCCCCCGGCACACCAGCCCCGTCCGCCCCCGGCACACCAGCCCCTCCGCCCCTGGTACACCAGCCCCGTCCGCCCCCGGCACACCAGCCCCTCCGCCCCCGGCACACCAGCCCCGTCCGCCCCCGGCACACCAGCCCCCTCCGCCCCCGGCACACCAGCCCCCTCCGCCCCCGGCACACCAGCCCCGTCCGCCCCCGGCACACCAGCCCCTCCGCCCCTGGTACACCAGCCCCGTCCGCCCCCGGCACACCAGCCCCGTCCGCCCCCGGCACACCAGCCCTGTCCACTGTTGGTACACTAGCTCTGAGACTTGGAGGGTGTCAGGTGGGCGATGTGGAGCACAGTCCAACAGGAAACGAGCAGGTCAAAGGCAGACAGTCAGGAGGGGTCAGGCAGGAGGACCAGCCAGGTGGTTGGTGGGTTACCCCGGCCTCCCCCAGCACCCTACTTCCTCTGTACATTACTTATAATTTGCCGTTTGTGTAGAGTGAGCTTTGCTGTTTTCAACTACCCATACTGATGCTCCAAAATAGATGAATGAATCCTCTTCTGCTATTTAGGAGTCAAACCTAAAGCCAACATCTGGATGCCGATTGCAGAGGTCAACTTTGCTCTTGGCTGGACCTTGGCACCCAAATCAAGCCTTTATACACACACACACACAACACACCTCTACCCTCTTCTGGAAACTATGACTTCGCTCTACTACGAGTCCCCTGTCTCTTCTCTGAAACCCTGGGGACCACATGTGTTTCAGACTTCGGAACACTGCACGTTCTAGAAGGGTAATTCGGTGCACATACCACGGATGTAATAACCCCCGAGGGGCCTGAGCAGCACTCTGTATGTAAACACATTAATATTTCTGCAGTGAACGTATGAATATTCACAGTAAGTGGGAAAAATAAAGGCCATAAATAGCCTCCTGACAGTTCAAGTTGTGTTTTACAGACTCAGGAGTTAAGTGAAAACTTGGCTTTCAGAGCTTCTTGGATTTCAGGACCGCGGGTGAGTGACAGGTGACCCCTTGGGAGGCCCCCAGAGGGGTGGGTGTCTCTGCCCTCACACACAGGGACCCACACTGTGCTCATTCGTGACGGATGTCGGGAGCTCTGGTCTCCTCGTGGGCTCAGGTGGGATGGGTGGGCATGTGCATGTGTGCAAGCAGGTACACACACCAGGGGCGTGCATGTCTTGCCACTCTGAGTCCTTGAATTTCTCTCTCTCTCTGGGTCCTGGAAGGGGCCTCAGAGGCATCTCTTGAATCCTCCTAGCAACATCCCCACCAAGAGGATAACCAGCTGCTGCGTCCACGGCCTACCTGACCCCCTTCTTCTCCACCACCCCCTCCTTCTATCCCAGCATCGCCTTCCCACAACCTTCCTCTTCCTCCCACTTCTCCTCCCTCTCCCTCCTCCCCCTCATTCTTGAGAGGCTCAGAGTGGTACCAACCCAAATCTCTTATTCATGAGCAAATTTCCTCAGTGGAGACTGCCAGCGTGTCATGAACTTCAGCCACTTCGGGTTCTAACAGAAGGATCCAAGCCCTAGCTTCAGTGTATCCACAGTTCTGGCCAGTGAGTCTCCTTAACATGCAAGGCTTCCTTGCCTTCTGCCCCCTTAGGAAGAGACGAATCTAACCAGGCCCGTATACATGTCTACCCTCTCCTTCCCTTGCGGTCCTTTCTTTTCTACTATTATTATTATTTTTGGTGAGGCATTTAAAAATGTTTAATGGTATTTTTTGCCCAGAATTTTGAAAAAGACTTTTTTAAAAAAAATTTCTTATTCTGAGATCATTGGAACCTACAGAAAAGTTTCAAAAATAGCAGCACAAGCTCCTGGGTACCCATCATCCATATTCATCACTTTTCACATTTTGCCAGATTTGCTTTATCACTCTCTCATACATATATATCTGTATTCATACTTTTTTTCTGAACCATTTGAAAGTCGGCTATGTGATGCTGCTCTTCATCTTCATATTCCCGTGTATATTTTCTAAGAATAAAGATCTCCTGTTACATAACCACAGAACACACAGTTACACAATCCAGGAAATTTAACATTGATACAAAGCTTTCATCTAATCCATAGCGCTCCCTGGGGGTTTAAAAGTCACTTTCCTCCCCAGTATCTTGGACAGTTCAGCTGCGTTTGGGGGTAAATTCCTGGTGCCGGGCAATGCGTGTCCCAGTCGCGGCTCCCCTTGGCTTGTCTGGACTTCAGACATGAACAACGCTGGCGCTTCTCAAATCATGTGCCCTAGGGGTTCCGCTGATGAAGGGAAGGAAGCTCTTTGGAGAGGGGTTTGTTTGAAGAGAAAATTCTACTTTAAAGAAAAAAGGTGGAAAACCACTGAGAGGCCCATCTTTTCATCTTATGTTCGAGAGCGGGAGCTTTAGAGGGGGTAAGCTGGCTGCTCTGGGCCACAATGGGATTTAGCGGGCAGTCGAGCAGGGATCTGAAACCAATTATTCATTTAACCGATGTTTCTGGAACACAGCAGTGGGAGGGGGCTGTGCTGCACCCCAGAGACGCAGAGATGATAGACGCCAGGCTTGTCTTCCAGAAGCTGCCCGGCTGGCATGTCCCCCGCGCGGTTCTATTGAGGTGGGTTCTGAGCCTCCATCCTGGTCTGGGAACCCCAGAGGAGGGAAGACAGCCTGTGAACCAGCCAGAGCTTTTCCAAGAACAATAGTGTTCTTTTAGCAAACATTTGTTCTATCAGTAAACTTTTGAACATTCAACAAACATTGGTCCGTTTGACAAATATTTGTTCACTTGCGCGTGTTGACTCAATTCCTGCCCTGTGCCTACCGAGGGCGGGGATCTGGCATTAGCAACAGGGACACCGAGCACCAGGGGGCCAGGCCAGTCCCCTGCAAAGGACTCAGAGTGGTGGAATCTCTTCTCCCATCTCTCTGTCGCTGCCTCGGCTGCCCTACGCCACATCAGAAGGGACAGGGCCACCCCAGCTCCCTGCTCCCAAGTGCTCACTCCCAAACTCCTCCTTTATAAAGAAAATCCTCCAGGGACTTCCCTGGTTGTCCAGTGGCTAAGCCTCTGTGTTCCCACTGCAGGGAGCTGGGGTTCAATCCCTGGTCAGGGAAATAGGTCCTGTGTGCTGCGGCTAAAGGTCCCACATGCTGCAATGAAGATTAAGATCCTTTGTGCCACAACTAAGACTCACCACAGTCAAATAAATACATAAAAAAAGAAAAAAACCTTACATAAAACCGAGTGGACCTGTGGGTCCCGGCCCAACATGAGCAGACCCCGCTTTCTAGAGGGCAGCCTAGCAAGAGTTACTAAAAATCTCTCTGATGGGCGAACACTTGAGCCAGCAATTCCACTTCTAGGAATTTAATCTAAGGGACCCATCACGGGATGCGCCGAGGCTTAGCCTTAAGGGTGTTTGTTGTTCGGTCGCTCAGTCGTGTCTGACTCTTTGCGACCCCGTGCACTGCAGCACACCAGGCTTCCCTGTCCTTCAGCATAAAAGAGCAAAAATCGTAATCAACCTGAAAGTCTGCTTGGGGAGGAAAATCGTGGCCCATCTTAGGCCTTAGAAAGCAAGGCATCCTGTGACAACAGTGGGCGAGAGGGTGTGAAATGGCAGGCAAGGCATCTCGCGATATATTAAAAAAAAAAAAAGTTGTCAATGTAGGAATATATATATATACACACACAAACACACACATGGAAAAACGTCTGATAGGATGTACTTTGGAGAAATTAAAAATGAGTCATCTCTGTATGAAGCATTACAAATGATTTTTTAAAAATTTTTGTTAATTATGTGCTCCTGATTTTCTACATTTTCTGTACTGAGCGTGCATTAGTCGTATAGTTAGAAAATAACGCACAGAAATATAACTTCTCCATTAAATTCAGTGGAACACTCACTGTTAATCCTTCCCCTGTGCTCAGCTGCAAACCTTTAGTACAGACGTGACACCATTTCGAGACATTCGCCCAAGGAAAACATATGACCCTCAACCTCAAGCGGTGGTCCTGATGACCACATCTGGCCCTGCTGGGTCCGGGGCTTCATACTCTTGTGTGTTATGTGTATGTGCACATGGGTGTACAGATGAATCTATACACAGATGTGTTTCTTGGGGCTGGGCGTGGGGCCAGTGGGTAGCAAAATAGGGCCTGGGACGGTCTTCTCAAACCCAGAGACGAGCATCATCTTTTTAATTTTTTTAAAAAGATTTATTTATTTTTGGCAGCACTGGGTCTTCGTTGCTGCCCCGGGGCTTTTTCTAGTTGCAGCGAGTGGGGGCTGCTCTGTGCTGTGGCAGTGGCCTTTCTCCTGGCAGTGGCCTTTCTTGCTTCGGAGCGTGGGTTCTAGGCTCTCGGGCTTCAGTAGATGCAGCACACGGGCTCAGTAGTTGTGACACCCAGGCTTGGTTGCTCTGAGGCATGTGGGATCTTCCCGGACGAGGGATCAAACCCGCGTCCCCTGCATTGGCAGGCAGCTTCTTAACCACTGGACCCCCCAGGGAAGGCCCGAGAATGATCTTTGACCATTGGAGTCAGTTATTAGACTTGCTCTCATCATTTCCAGGAGCTTGGGCTCACTCGGCCTACCTCCCCATCCCTTCCCCACCCCACCCCAAATGCATGCTCGCACATCCAAGAGACACGCACGCCAACACGTACTCCTAACAGCAAGGCAGGGCTTCTCTTTGCTGGCAGAAAACCAGAGGCAGAAGGATTAAAAGATATCTGTGATGACCTCGTATGCCTGCAGAATCCCCTCTGGGAGCAGTCCAACATCTGCTCATCTAGGAGGTGTGCGTCGCAGTACACGGCGTCTGTGGGCTTAGTACGCATGCGCACTTGGCGGTACTTACATGTGCCCATACATGTGGGCAGCGTGGAGCCGCGGAAAGAGCCAGACGTTCAGCTCCCAAGTCCAGCTTTGCTGTTCACCAACCTTGTGAATTTGGGCGAGCCGTGGCCTCTACAAGCCATTGGTTTCTTCTGGGATGTGGGAAGGATGGGTGTGGACGTGATTTATAAATTGCAAAATGCTATCCACATTGAAAGGCTCGTGATTACTATGTATGCACATGCTGGTATTTATTAGAATGATGGTAAATACTAACAGTCAGAGAGTCGGCCTCTCCTCTCCCCCTGCCTGAAAGGATGCTGGGACAGGATACCTCTGCTCTGCAGCCTCCCTCCTCCGCACCTGCGTCAGGCTCATTGCAAAATCTTAACATCTTTCAAATCTAGTTCAGGAAAGGCTCCTAGAAGTCACCTAGTCAAAGAGGCATGAAGGGTTTGTATCCCAGAGAAGGGCCCAGCCTCGACAGTAGGGCGCACACCGGCCCTACCCGCTGAGGAGCGTGTGGCTTCGACCCTGTGGCTTCAGGCAGCCTGGGAAGGGCACAAACTCTTAGCTGTGGAGCCAGGGCAGGAGGGGCAAGCAGAGGGGACCAACAGACCCAAGGACTCCCACTAGCTCACCCTAGCAAGGGGAGGGGCCTGGCCCAGGGGCCCTGCTGGCTGAACTGGCCAGGCTGGGATTTATGGGCCCCTCTTGGACACGTTAAAGATCACATTAAGTGCAATAAATGTAGATCACGCTCCTAAATAAGCTGAGATTTATCCCCGGATCCTCTCCACAGGGGCCAGCCCCATAAATCCTGCCCAAGCCTGTCCCCTGGCCAAGGGATGGGGGAGGGGAGAGGGTTGGGGAGGCCATTCCAGGCACTGAATGACTTGGAGCTGACTAGGGGCTCCTGATGAAGGGTGGGACGAAGACGGGGTCCAAGCGGCCTGCCCCAGCTCCATCCTCTGCCATCCCCTTCCTTCGCCCACCCTCTTGTGGTCCCAGCCTGCATGTGGTCTTGTTACAGACGTGAAAACAATAATGACTCTTCTAAATGGGGACGCTCAACCCCAGCTGAAACCGCTTTTGTCCAGTGTGGGAGGGCCCTCCATTAAGAAAAATGTATTATAGGAAAATGCAAATTTACAGGCCAATAAATTACGGGATGATTAGTCACGTTGCAGCCTTTCTTCAAAGGACTCTTTAAAGGCTGCGCTCCTTCATTTAAGTGTCTGTTTATAGCTCAGTAACTTCCAGACTGAGAGGCTGGGAGGCCCCACGAAGGGCAAGGGAATCTGGGAAGATGCAGAGAAAAAGAGAGAGCTCCCCTTCTTAACCAGCCTGGGGGGAAAAAACATCCCTGAAAGGGCATCAGAGTCATCTGGGTTGTATTGATGTGATGCATGTTTGCCCAGCACCTATTCTGCGCCAGGTGCTGCCCCAACATAGGGGCAGCAACTAGGCAGGAACCCGCTGGGTCCTCACCGAGGTCCCAGGGTAGGGACAGGTGAGAAAATCAGCGTCAATCAGATTCGCCCTGCTTCCCGATTGACTCGATGCAGTTTACAGGCAGTGATTTCTGAGCACATCTATCACCAGATGTCAGGGACCGTCCACATGAACAGTGGCGGAAGGAAGGGTGAATCAATAGATGGAATTTTTGACCAGGAAAAACAAATACAAATGTTATGGTTTTCCGAGCTTTTCCCAAAGAACAAATACAAAGTTTGGCCTTCTTTGAACCGATTGTCCCAGAGTCCTTTGCTCTGTGACCTGGATCAAATCCCTCAGCCACTCAGCACCTCAAGCGCCATTGACCACAGGCAGACAGGAAGGGATGAGCTCATGCCCTGGCTGCTGGAATCACTGAGGAATCTCTTCCAAGGGTGAGAAGAGCCTTCTGGAGCCCCTCCACCCATCACTTGGAGACACACGGACTTTACACTCTTTCCCAGGCTCTTTCTGACCCCATGTCTCGCCTCCTGCTGTCCCCTTTGGCATAATGCCCCCTCCCCTCATCTCTACCTAGCAAACTCCTATTCATTCTGCAAGATCCAACTTCTGTCAAGGACTGACTGCATTATGTTGGGTGTCTGCGGAAGCCATTTGTGTGTCTGCTGCCCCCACTGGATTATAAGCTCCTTGAAGGCAGAGTTAAATTTTGTTGGTATGATTCTTACAGCCAAGCCCCATGCCTGGCGCATGGCTTAAACAATGCTCCATAATTGTCTGCAGAATGAATGACTCAAATTAATTGGGTGTACAAACGACCTTGATCATCACAGTTACAAAAACTATTGAGCACTCACTGAGGGCTTAATGCCTCACCTGCCATAACCCTGAGAGGACCGTTTTATGATCACTGTTTCACAAAAGGAAAAGATTGAGCCTGAGAAGTCTGAAGGTTAGTTCAAGATCAAAGAACTGGTAAGCGATTGGACCAAGGTCCACCTAATGACCTGTTACAACTGTATCAGTTCTCTTTTCTAAATTATAGTCTCTTCCGGAGCAGATACTATGTCACATTCACCTCTGGATGTGTCCCCAGGACCCAGCATAATAGGTGCACAAAGTAGAATGACAGTGAATGAAATCTGAATGAAATTTGTTGACACAATGACATTTGTTTTGATTTTTAAATCAACAACAAATGAGCTAAATTTCAGTGGTATGACATGTCACAGTGGAACCTGAAACAGAAAGAAATATATGCACTCTTTCTCTCTCTCTCTCTATATATATATATATAGTTTTATAAATTTATTAGTTAATTTTTCTAGATTATTAAAGAATATTGAAAGATGAAAGACAAGTTATTAAAACTCACATTAGATATTTTTACTTATACCCAAACCCGAATTTATTATAACATTGCCTTCTCAGCTTGAATGGAAGCAACTCATCAACACAAAGAAAAATTCAAAATCTCCTTCACTTGTTTTATTTTCCATTGAAGGATCACAAGTTACAACAAATAAGAGAAAGCTTTTTGAAAGTGTGTTTGGTAAATATAAAGCCATATCAGAAGATATGAATATGTCTCTCAAATATTTAAACTTAATATTGAGAATTTAAAGATATCTGCTTTTCATTTTTTTTCATGTTTCAACTACTTTAACATTCTGGGAAAGATATTTTCTAAAAATAGAACTATGCAAATGGAGCACACATTTTTCTATAGGTTTACAGCAGTGTGTTTTTATATAAAATGATATTTTTTTCATCATGGATTTTTGTTTGCTTTAATTTTGAATTTTGACATCATATATTAAAATACTATTTACCTCAATTACTAAGTTTTTCTTGGTGCTCCCTTAAAATTTATGCACACCCAATGACTCTTTGCGACCCTATAGACTATAGCCTGCCAGGCTCTTCTGGAATTCTCCAGGCAAGAATACTGGAGTGGGTAGCTATTCCCTCCTCCAGAGGACCTTCCCAGCCCAGGGACTGAAACTGGGTCTCCTGTATTTCAGGCAAATTCTTTTCTCTCTGAGCCACCAGGGAAGCAGATACAGTTTACCTGCAGGGGAAACTGATACGCATCAAGAAAACATTTAAAGGTTCCTATCCTTTGGCCAATCCTAATTCCATCTCTGGAGATTTATCTCAAGAATTCAAGAGATCCGAAGTCTTTTGGACCAAGATGTTCATCTCCTTGTTATTTATAATAGTGTAAAGTTGGAAATAACCTGGTTGCCCAACCATAGGAGATTTGTGTTTAAAAACTGTTTATCCATGTGGAAAAATGTCATGCAGCTGTTTTGAATCATGTTTTTTTCAAAACGATGTTTTTGAAGAATATTTAATGACATGGGAAAATATTCAAGATGCCTTTTGTGGAAACCCACAATGAAAGCTGTATATCCCTCGCCATTTCATTTTTTAAAAACAGATTTGTTTTGAAAAAACTGTAACACCGGAAAATGCTAATGATGATTGTCCCTGGATGATGGAAATATGAGTGGACTTTTTTCTTCCTTTTACTTTTTTTGCATATATCTACTTTCTTCTATTCTAATTCCGATGAATTAGATTTGTATTAGGAAATAGATTTTTTTTCTATTTTTGATTGAGATGTAATTAACATATAAAATAATATTTTAAGTAAATTCATATTATAAGCCTATAAGAAGGTATAGGAAAACAGGGACTATGTCTGCTTCATTCCCTGTTACATTCCTAGTGCTCACAGCAGGGCCTGACAAGTGGTAGGTATTCAATAAACATTTGTTGAAAAACTGCCTATGAATTATTAGTTCAAGCACTCCTTTTATTAATCAAAATTCTTTTGGTTGAAGAGACAGAAGCATAGCTCAGCTTAAGGGAAAAAGGAAATGTGTTTGACAGGTGAGACTCCTGGTTTTGAAGGATCAGTTTTGGGGAGCAGGGTCAAAGCGCCCGCCTCCCATCCCCACTTGGCTTGCCCAATTTCAGCACGAAGATGGCCACTGACAGCTCCTAAACCACCTCCTCCTAGCACCACTTGTTTCCCAAAGGACAGATCCTGGGTAGGCCCAGTATTGTGCAAAACTTCAACTCTGCCAAATCCTGCATCTTAAAAAATAATTAAAAAAAATTTTTCTTGCACACCCTCTATTAATAGGATAGGATTTGTAAAGCTTGGAACAGAAGTTTCAGTAACTTAAGGATTTCTAAAGTAAAAGGTCAGGTGGTCCCCAGGATAATTAGACAGCAATGGCTACTGGACAAAGAAATTCCCCGAAGGTTTCTGTCCTACCCCATCCTGTTGGCCAGAACCGTTTGACATTGACATTTACTGTTCTTGAAGCTCCCAGTGACAGAGGCAGGAGGGATCAGCTACCTGGATGACAGCCAAAGGTCTGACATAAGCAAGCCATTGAGTTCCCCAGGCAATCGGATTTCTGTCTCTGGGGAATTCAGTAGGTGGGCAATATTTGTATCCTTTGATAATTCCTCTGCAAGAGCTGAATTTAAGTCAGAGAAGAGCTAATCATTACAGACACACTGATGGATGACTTCATATACACAACGCTTGCAATAA